GGAATTAAAAAATGGACCTGGCTTTATTGAAGAGGTTGGGAGAGGAATGGTATCTCTGAAGAAAATGGCAAATCTTGGCCAAATCTTTGAGGGAAAGTTTGAAGACTAAAGGAAATTTATCCACCATCAAAGGACAGAGGGGAAAGAACTGGTTGAGGGATGGATAAGACATAAGAAGGCCTTTTGGATGTCACCCCTGAACAGAATAGAGATGCAGGTTTTAGGGAGGAGGATTCATATGCAGGGCTAGTCCAGAACAAACATTAGAAGAGCAAAGTCAGAAAGTAGGCTAGAGCAACTTCTCAGCAATAGAAGAGGAGAAGTGCCAAGTAAATAATGATTAATGTACACAATTGTAGAACTAAATAGCCCTAGTTTTCTAAGAAAAGAAGTGAAGCAACAGGGGGAGAGGAACCTGGTGTTTTACAAACCTTTCTCTCTACATGGTTTATCATACTGATAAGAATCCACCCTTTCTGCTGGGATAGGAAGGGGGATTAAGAAATCATATGAAGAGAACCACACAGCTGTTTGATGTCTCAAGTGGTTAGGTTTACAGAAACAGGCAACTGTTTAGAACCTCAGTTTAGGTCTATTTCCAAATGATGTCACTATTTTCTTCTTCACTGAGCATATCACACCTAGCATTTTATTTACACTTACTTGTTTGCTCATTATCTATCTCTCCCCCACCAACCCTCCCCCAAACACACACACACACACAGACACACACACACACACAGACACACACACTAAAATGTAAGCTAATTGAGGTCAGGAACTTTGATTAATTTGCTACTGAGTCCCCAGTACCTAGAACAATATAGCAGACATTAATACTGCTTAATATATAGCAGACATTTAATAAATATTGATTGGCATTTGATTGAATGAATTAAAGTATAAATGAATACTGCCAAACAATAGCTGGTAGTAATGCAAAAATGAATAGGATCCAGCCCCTGATTAAAGGATCTCATAAAATAGAAGGAGAAATAGGTCAGCAAATATAAAATTATGGAGGTACAAAAGAGAGCATTATCAGTTCTGCTTTGGTGGGGATCATCATAGCAAACATTGCAAATTAGAGAAACTGGTCTCCCAAATTCAGTGCTCTTACCTCAGGAGAAACAAACCAGTTCATGGGAGTGAAGATAAAACCTGAAAACTTCTACTTGTTTTTTATTTATAATTTTGTGCTGGTTTTGTAATGTACATATGTAATATAAATACAATAACACAAGCATAAATTTGAATATGCAAATTAGCATACCTAAATTTGAGTTCCATGCTCTTAATTTTTGTTTCATGGGGTACACAACTAAAATGTCACCCTTGAGTTGCACATCTTGAAAGGTAACTAAAAATGTGCCTTCTAGTCAGAAGTGAGACAGAGCATTCCAGAATGAAAGTAACAGCATGGATCCATAACAAATCAAAAGGAATTCTGGGACTGTAAGACATTTCGTATGCCTGGGCATTATGATGGGCAGAGAGAAATAATAGAAAACAAGCTAGAAAGCTATTCTACTGGAAAGGGAGATGTATAAACAAAGGAACAGCAAGATGAGATTTCCATTTTAATTAGATAATTCGCATCAATGGAGGATAAATTTGAAAGGTAAAGAACTGGAGGTTTAAACACAGGAAGTATTTTAGAAATTTGAGGAAGAGATGATTAGGGTGTAAACAAGGGCCTGGTTATAAGGTATAGAGAAAAGGAAATAGATTTAGAACAAATTTTGAGGTAAAATTAGCAAGTCTTGGTGATAACTAGTTACGAGTTAAAAATCACTGAAGATAAAGTTCAGAGACCTAAACAGAACAGAGACCTAAAAAATACTTATAAAGAGGTAAGTTTACTTCTCTCATACATAATAGAAGTCAATTTAGGACTGGCTCCACTCTCATCAGGGACCCTGCTCCTTCCATCTCTCTACTATGTCATCCTTGATGTAAACCTTATTTCTCACAATCAAAGCTGGCTGCTGGAGCCTGAATCATCATCTCTATGTTACAGGCAGAAGAATGGAGGAATGACAAAAATGTTTCATGCTTCCTATCTTTAGAGAAGACTTCCTAGAAGACTTCTGCCCACATTTCAGTAGCCAAAACTCAGACACATTGCTAGACCTAGTTGAAAGGTAGGCTCAGAAATGTAATCTTTATTCCAAGTGTCAGAATAAACATTTTGGGTCTTCATTAAAGAAGAGGAAAGTAGGGATAATGACCAGAGCTTCACAAATATTAATGGCCACCCTAATCACCTGGGGGTTTGCTTAAAAATGCAAACTGTGAGGAGGGGCTCAAGATTCTTCATTTCTTACAAATTCTTAGTGATTCCTTGGCTGCTGGTCTGTAAGCCATATTCTGAGTAGCAAGGTTATGCACCAGTGGTTCTCAAACATTAGTGTTCGTCAGGATCGGGGGACGTGGTGGCGGGGGGGGGGAAATGTGCTAAAACAGATTTCTGGACCCCTCCCTCAGAGTGTCTGATTCAGTAGGGCCAAAGTGGGGCCTGGGAATTGGCATTTCTTAGAAGATTCCAGGGGATGCTGATGCCCCTGGTAGGTGGGACCACACAGGGAGAACAACTGCTATGACTTCTTGTTTTGATAACAGATTGGAGAGACACTGGACCACAAAGAGACATGGTATCAAGAGAGGGGGGGTGGTTTGTTGATATTTCTGCTTTCATTTTATTGTTTGTGATAGCAGTGCCATTTTATTCACACTCTCGCTGGATTAAAAACAAATGTCCACTATAAGCTGGTCTGAAATATTCTCAAGTTTTCTCCCTCTATATTTTCTCCACATTAGCCAGAATCCTAAACAGACTGAAATTCTTATTTAGCCAACCATCTGTACGTAGTTTCACAGTCTGTGAGTAAAATCAGTATGTAATACAAAGCAATTAAAATATCCTAGTGTCTCTAGCCAGAATAGTCTCCCCATCTTAAAGGGATGTTTTCTTCTTAGCTGGAAAAATCAACCTACTCCACTCAATCTCTTGTTTGTTTTCTATGTCAAAATTAGTGGGTTACCTACTGATTATCAGACCTGGCCAATTAGTCTGATCATCTCATCACATATTTGCAACTTCTCCAGCTGTGAGAGTTACTTTTTATGTTGACTCTTTCAATAAAAACTCCCCAAGCTGAGACAAATGAGTAAAGTGATAAACACCCACCAGCAACTTAACCTGAATACTTATTTAGAGCAGCACAACTGAGCCATGGGATAGAATTCAGGAAATGAATTGTGGTGCTGTATTTTGAGGCTCTGAGGAAGTCCACAGCTCCTGGCACACGTAAACAAAATTGGCGCTAATTTCAAACTGAATCTCATTACTATTGCAGGTGATATATATGAATCTATGAAAATAGATGAGATTAGGAAATGCCAAGATTTATTCATTTATGTCCTGGAGAGGTAGGAATAGGAGGAATAATTTGGCAAAGAAGTAGGATAAATAAGACAAATCCCCTTCACAAGAATGCATAATCTAACTTTGTCTATCTCTTATTCCTACGTCCTCAGAGAAAGGTTTTCTTTTCCCTCAAATAAAACTCAGAGGTGTATTTGTTTCTCCATAGTTCCCTTCTATGTTCAGAGGGCAGCAGGGTAAAAGATTTGTCAAAGAAATCTCATAGTTTCAGCTTCTTCTACATGACTTCCTGGTTTTTAATGGACATAGCGGTTACATTCCAAAGAAACCCTAAAATAGAAAGAATTTAGCCTGCTGTCTTAAGTCTTTAATGAGGGCCACTTCTCTAGGCATGGACACGTCAGGCTTTTATTTTCAAAAGAAAAGCCACCTTAGAAGCTCCATAAGAAAAGAATAGTCTTAGGACAGACTGGAAAGCTAAAAGCATCCTAAAGGTCATTGAGACCCTGCCTGCATTAACAGGGTAGTTGGCAACCACCTTGTGCCTTGTTCAAAGCCTGCCGTCTCTCCAAGGCCTCCAACCTGTCCCCTCCAGCTTGCTCTCTGATCAGTGAGATTCTCTGTGTCTTTGCATAACAGTCATGGAATCCTAACAGCTGCAAAACATACTGAAAGGGGATTAACTAGCTTGATTCCAGTTTACTGGATGAAATACATGACTCAGAATGAGAATCTCAGATTAGTACTACAGATTGTCATCCCAGATGCTAGGAAATTCAGACACCTATGTAATGCCTCTTGGAAAAGTATCATTTCCTCAAAGCTGCAGGAAAGAATAAATAAACAATGAAGTGCTCAGAATTCCTCAATGGAGTTGTTCAGTTTCAGCCACATGAGTTCCAAGGACAATTACAAGGACCAAATCCATTCAGTGATATAATGACTCAATTTTCTACAGAATACATCTAAGACCAATATAGGAAGAGACTGGATATGGACAAAAGAAAAAAAAAAACCCACAAGATAATTTGCTAAATTAACTGATTAAACACAGAAACCACAGCTGGTTTCTAGTCATCTGGATGAGTTTGTGCATGGCTGACTCAGGCAATTTGGAGTGTGGTGTAGACCTAAGGAGTGTGGGAGCAGCAACATGTTTATTTGCGCTTAAATAGAAACACAGATAGCTAGTCCAAGCAAGAACATCCTCCACAGAAAGAAACTGCAAATAACCCATCCCCTGGCTGCCAACTAGAGGCTTATTTTAGAAAGAGTAAGTAGGAACAGGCTGCATGGCCAGTCTAGGAGAATTCAGAGGTGCTCCGCCCACACACCAGGCAATCATTAGCATGTCTACTCAGTTCTCAACCATGTAACAGCTGCAAACAGACAATAGTGGGAAACTGCCACAGAGAAAGAGAAAAAAGTCCTGGAAAAGCCTGTTAATTAAGAAAAGATGGAGGGGGATTTTTTTTAGAAAGCAATGCAACTCGAACAGAGGAAAAAGTTTCATAATACAGAGTTTTGAGAGAAAATGACTCAAAGGAAAATGAATCAGTAAAATATGTTATCATTCTGCAAGGTGAAACCACAGTTACTTGTTCCTCAAGCATTCATCGAACACTTAACTAAGTACAATGCACCATGCTAAGTTCCATGAGGGGAAAAGAAATGAAATCAGACAATTTATACCCTTTGGCCAATTGGCATTTACTTGTGAGGATAAAATATGTATACCAACAACGGCTATATGCAAAATTACAAGTTTTGGTCACTTGTAAAATGGAACATGCCAGCTGTTCAGAACCGTTGCCTTATTATAAGCACATTGCCAGGTGAGCTTAAAAGGATGACAAGATGCCACCCTTGACTTTGGAAGAATAGGAATGTTAAATGTAGATTGTAGAGTCAGGTTGACTGTCTTTTTTCATTTTCCTTTTCTTAAAACCCATCAACTCAGGAAAGTCCCCCTCTATATATTGACAGCTCACTCACACCACAAACTATGTGTCATTTTCCCAGCAGACAGTTCAAGGCCGCTGTCTGGAATGGAGATATCAAGAACAATGCAAGCGCGAGAGTAGCCAAACAAGCCAGGTAAAATCAGCCCAACGCAAACAGAACCAAGGACAAAAGGCAAATGCAACTAGGACTCCTGAGGCGCTTAATGGAAAAAAAAAGTTGTTTACAAAAAAAGGGAGAGTCATTACAGAATTAAAAATCAGATGACATTTGATGAGAAAAGGAGAATAAAAACAATTTACTGATTAATCATTATTACTCTTGATCACCACCTTATGAAGCAGTTCCATTTTACAGATTAATAAACTTGCTATTGAGCAGAGATAGAAATTTGCAGAACCAGAATTCACTTATCAGCCAGTGAGCTAACCACTATGCAATCCAGATTCCTACTCTGTGGAAACTGCAAATAGATAGTGATAGCAATGGGTTCTAGACATTTCCATCCTATACCCATGTTTCTTCTCTTACTATAGGTTTTAGGTTGGGCCATGTGCATCAAGCTTCTATAGGCAAAGGATAGCACAGAATTCAAAGTGAATGGCATGTTCAGCCCACAGCAGACAGCAGACGTTGTTGTATACCACCATTTTCGACCTGCCCAACTCCGTTTTGTCTCTCTTCTGGGAGTGTCTTCCTGGAGCCTTTGTTCTTGGGTAGGCTGGAGTACATGGAGAAAAATGAAGCTTAGTTATCACAAGTAATGCCCTGATGTTCAGAGAACCAGGCTTATACCTTCGAGAACAAAGTCCCTTCTTCAGAGCTGCTTCAGTACATCTAGCCAATAGCTACCTGGCCCTTTGGTCTCTGCAGGAAAGAGTTCAGGGTCCAGGCCTCACGCAGGCCCTTAATTCAAGTGAATGGACATAAAGGAGGTTGGGAATGAGGAATGCAACATTCAGTTAGGGCAGTTAGGGCAGTTGGGCCACTGTCTATTTGCAGGTTCCAATGGCTAGCTTCAACCAGTTTTAAACAATCGAGGTTGGGGACAGAGTGAAAAACATGATGAGAAATATCCTAGTTTCTCACATTTCTTAAGACTGGCTCTGAAATGGATCTGCTTAGTGTGTGGATGTGCATAAATGCTAATTATTTGAAAGGAACAACTCCTGGAACTGAGGCTCAATTTTTTATTCTGTTGTTGTTTTTAATCTCCACGCTGAGTTTGCCTTCTAACACACCCAGAGAGTGTATCCAAGCAAGAGGCTGAGAAGGAGGGCAACAATGGAGTGGAGATGTGCTTAATGCAGACTCCACTAATAAATCACGGATAGTTAAGATATAGTTTGGATGATGGGCGGCAGATGGGAAGGAGGTACGTCAAATTGCTTTGCTCATATAGATTATTGGATTAACAAGGAAGCAGCAGGCAAGTGGCAAACTGGTGTAACAAATTGCTATCATTAAAAAGAAAAAATTGAACTTATCCCAGGATGGTAATAAGGCTCTGTAGGCCATTAGCCCTTGGGAGAGGTGCTTGAAGTGGGAATATCCCTCTGAGATGTTAATACAGAGAATGCTCTCCATGTTCCTTCTCCTCCCCTCACTGTTGTACCTAAGCACATCCTGGTGAGGGGAGGGGGAAGGGAGAAATGAATTAATGAGTGGGGCTATTAGCAGGCGCATACCCCGCCCAGTCAGTGATAAGCAGAAGTATATACACCACACCGTTCTGACAACTAATACTGGTTGCAACCAATACTGCCTTCTTTATTTGCCCCCTCCATACCCTCTAACTTTTTATTTTGAAAATTTTCGAACCTACTGACAAGTTGCACTAGTAATAAAATGAGCACCTGATATTTTACAAGATTCACCAATTGTTAATATTTTGCCACATTTGCTTTGTCTTTCATTTTTCTTTTCCATTTTTGGTGAACTCTTAAGTGGTAGACATCAAAAGGCTGCAGTATGTATTTCTGAGAACAAGGTCATTCTCCTACATATTTACAATGGAATTTTCAGGAAATTTTAGCCTTGATAAGTAATATTATACAACATACAATCTATGTTCAAATTTCCCAAACTGTTCCAAAAATGTCTTTTATAGCTTTATAAAAAATCCAGGATTCAATCAAGAATTATGCATTGTTTAGTCATCATATCTGTTTAATAGTTTGTATTCTAGAACAATGCCTAGCCTTTCTTTTTAACTTTTAAGACACTGACATTTTGAAGTGTCTAGACCAGTTGTTTTGCAGACTGTTTCTCAATTTAGATTTTTCTGATTGCTTCCTCATGATTAGAATAAGGTTAAACATTTTTGGCAGGATGTATTCTTTGTAGTACATCACATCAGGAGGCATATGTTGCCAGTTTGCCAAACTTGGTGATTGTAAGTTTCATCATTTGGTTAAGGTGATGCTATCAAATTTCTCCACTGTAAATGTAGCATGTTCCCTCTGTAATTAATAAATAGTTCTGAAACTGGGTGATTATTAGATCAACATTTTATACAACAGTTTAGCATGCTTTGATGATTTTTGCTTGAATCACTTATTACAGTGGTCATTGACAGCCTTAGAAAACCATCATTTAACATTCTTTCTACATTTATGAGTTACTATTATTATTATTTTTTTTTTTTTTCGTTACGCGTGCCTCTCACTGCTGTGTCCTCTCCCGCTGCGGAGCACAGGCTCCGGACGCGCAGGCTCAGCGGCCATGGCTCACGCCCCCGGCCCAGCTGCCCCGTGGCATGTGGGATCCTCCCGGACCGGGGCACGAACCCGTGTCCCCTGCATCGGCAGGCGGACTCTCAACCACTGTGCCACCAGGGAAGCCCGAGTTACTATTCTTTTGTAGAAATAAATATTTCTTTTTTTTCTCCATCCACTCCCATTGTTTTTGGTACCACTATGGCCTCGCAGAGGTTTATTATAATCCATCCCTGCCATTACTTAAATTGATATTCTAGTTGTCTCATATTTGGTCAATGGAAGCCCCTTTAATCTGGCATCCATGTTTTTATTTATTTATTTATTTTTGACATTTTCCTATCAGTGTTTGAGCACTTCTTTACTTTTTTTTTTTTTTTTTGCGGTACGCGGGCCTCTCACTGTTGTGGCCTCTCCCGTTGCGGAGCACAGGCTCCGGACGCGCAGGCTCAGCGGCCATGGCTCACGGGCCCAGCTGCTCCGTGGCATGTGGGATCTTCCCGGACCGGGGCACGAACCCGTGTCCCCTGCATCGGCAGGCGGACTCTCAACCACTGTGCCACCAGCGAAGCCCACTTCTTTACTTTTTGATTCAATTCAATGCTCCTGGCTCACCTTGTACTTCATTGCCCCAGACTTAGGGTCAGTCAGTTTTCCAGGTAGTCCTGGTTCCTTTGAATGGAAAGTGGTAGTTAGAAACCAAGATCAGGGTGATAAATACATTAACTGTTACTTAAGTGTAATTGTTCTAAGCACTTTCTTTGTACCCAGCAAGAAAATATGTATTTTGATAAAGTCATGAGTTTGTACTTCCAATTCTAATCCAATACAACAGAGTTCTCCTTCCCCCTTTCCATATTTTTTTACCACTCTCCTACCATGAGAACTCTATGCCCCGCCCCAAACACCAATATATTTGCTCATTTGCTCAATTCTGCAATACACACAAAATAGCTTCAAACGATTCCACCACCAATAGTTTCTTTTCATCTTTAGAAAATATCCTACTGAAGGTGGGATGCAATCAGAGTACAGTGTTCAAAATTTACTTGAATTAATTCTGGCTTTGCTTCTTTGTGTTCATATTATCAATTTGACATACAGTTCAATTCATGTGTTTCTATTTGTATTCAATTTCTAGATTTTACTATATGCTTGATAAATTAACAATGTTTTCTGAATATGCAAAACATTAATGTGGTTTAAAAGTCAAAACTAGATTGAAAGGTAAACTTAGAAAAATATTATTCCCTGTATTATTGCTTTATTTTCACCCTTCCCCAATAGTCAACCAATTTCTTTAGTTTCTGTTTTAACAATCTTGTGTTTCCCTTTGAAGATATTTATTTGCTTATATGTCTGTGTATTCTGATTTCCTTTTCTTTGTTACAAAAATGGTAGCAGACTATTTTTACCTTGTTCTTTTCCCTTTCAGTGTATTTTGAAATTAGAAGCTTCTTTCTAAATTCCTTTGTTCTGTTTTATTCAACTTCTCAGGCAATGAAATCATATCTCAGCTCCAGGTAAAATGAGTGGTTCTTGTAAAAAGGAGTTAAGAACATGAAAGAGATATGGGTTGTGTTTAACTGACACCGGGATTTAATGTGCATGTATTTCACTTAATATATTTCTAAGTGTGGTTCAAATGGTCCCTCAAGTCAGAAGCAGGCAAGGGTGCTCATTAAAATTCTTATTCCAAAGCTCCACTCCAGATCTACCTAACCAAACTCTCTGTAGGGTATAGCTGAGGAATATTCATTTTCAAACTCCTGGGTGATTCCATAGACCTTCAGAGAAACTTAGGCTGTTATGAGAGGAATAAGTGACTGGGAAAGCCACAAACATGACTTATTGTCATGACAAAGTCTTTTCACTCAAGTGTCTAAGACCTAAGTCTGCTTTTCCTCTAAGGGCATGAAATTTTTCTTTTTAAATAAGAATTTGGTTTCTTTTGGAGTAAGGTCTGAGCCCATCTCCTTTGCTGGGGTAAGCCAGCTACGTAAACTCTGTATTATTCTTGGATCTTTGAGATGAATCAGAGAGTTGGATGGAGCACACTAGAACCACACAGAACCTTCCTCTAACCTCTAAACCTCAGGGTAGAGTTTCCAGGGAACACAGTGGCATTCCAAATGTTCAGGTTTCAATCCGTGTAACATTTTAGCCAGTGGAAACCAGGGGAAACAGGTGGGTGCTAACTTTAAGTATCTCAAAACTCTACCATTTCCATTGCTTCTCCCACCTTCCCTAGCCCTTCCATATTCTCCAGTATGGATTTGACTATGCCCATCTAAAGTTAAATGTTTTATTAAAAAATGGGATACTCTTGGGAGGAAGGTAAGGGAAATGAATCATCTATTCCATTTTGAAGCTGTGAAAACTGAGATGCAGAGAAGCAGTGTGAATGAAAGGCTAGGTGGCTGGAGCAACCTTCCAGACACTGGGGGAGCCCTTCACAACACTGTGAAGTAGGTAAACCTTGTCTTTAATCACTCACTTTTAATAGTCAGTGTTTATCAGTTACCTACTATAAGCCAAGGACTTTGCTCCATGCTTTTCCTACTTTAGCTCATTACTTTTTATACCACATTTATGAAGCAGATACTATCACCATCTGTCTCTTACAGGTGAATACACTGCAACTTAAAGATGGTGTTACTTGTCCAATTCTCATAGCAAAGCAAGAGCTAAATCTATGTTGCTCTAACCAGAACCCAAGTCCTTAACTGCTACATAACTGAAAAGGGCTCCCAGAAACATGTTTCTTTACGATACTAACCCAGGTGCTCAGTGTCACAGCCTGTTGACTGCAGGCCTAAGGATCTCCACTTAACAGTTGACAACTTCTACCCCTCAAATTCTAAAGAGGCAGGGATTCAAGAAACTCTGTTGTGACCTTAGCCAAACTGCTGTGCTTTCCCAGGATTCAGTGTCCTCATTCTGTAAAAAGAAGAAGGAAGGATAAAAAAATTTTTAAGTACACATATATATGTATATATATGTATATATATATAGCTCTTTCACTTCTGATAGCCTATAATCCAAATACCTGATTTACATTTTCACACTATAGTTTTGCTTGCTTCCTCTTTATTGTCTTAATATTTTAATGTGCCCCTCTTTATTCCCAAAGGCATCTGAATTCCAAAAGAGGCTAATGTATTAACTCAAAGAAATGAGTCTCTAATAGAGCAAATTTCCAGACAGAGAATCCAATGAGTATTGAGACACTTGTATCCTGATTATATTTCTTTTCTTGTTCTGAGGATGGCTATGCTCAGAAAAACGCTCTCAGAGATAAGGCTGGATAAAATGGAAACCGGGCCTAGCTCCCTGAAACAGTGTTGGCAGAAATGAGGTGAGAACACAGGGCCCACAAGCCAGCTGGCATACATGGCAGAGGTCCCTCCCAGACATCAGAGATTCAGGGGAACCATAGAAACCATATGTGTGAGAAACACTGGCAGAGAAGAGGGATAGCATATCAGAATTGTTTCCACGTGGGGTAAATCCCAGGAGATTTGATGTGATGGTGGTTTCCAGGACCCTGTCGTCCAGTACTGGGGAACAAAAACTCCTCTGCACCCCAACAACTAATGAGACAAGAACCACTTCTCTCATCCTCACCTCTGCCTGGTCTTTTCTGTTTCAGGAACATCTCTGCTGACAGCTGGCTGAATAGAAATGACCTAGCAATTTTAAGATTTGTGATGGCAAGACAGACATTATTTTGTTATGCCTCACAGTTCATGGCTCTGCTATATAGTAGGTAATAACTGTATACTGTATTAACTGAAGATACAGAATGAAGTCAAATTTCCAAGTTGGAGAAACCCAGTTTATCTTCTCGGTGAAATGAGACAATATGTAGCCGCAGCTCTTTTTTTTTATTTTTTTTAACATCTTTATTGGAGTATAATTGCTTTACAATGGTGTCTTAGTTTCTGCTTTATAACAAAGTGAATCAGCTATACACATACATATATCCCCATATCTCCTCCCTCTTGCGTCTCCCTCCCACCCTCCCTATCCCACCCCTCTACGTGGTCACAAAGCACCGAGCTAATCTCCCTGTGCTATGTGGCTCCTTCCCACTAGCTGTCTATTTTACATTTGGTAGTGTATATACTTACATATTACTCTCTCACTTTGTCCCAGCTTACTCTTCCACCTCCCCATGTCCTCAAGCCCATTCTCTATGTCTGCATCTTTATTCTTGTCCTGCCCCTAGTCTCTTCAGAACCATTTTTTTTTTTTTTAGATTTCATATGTATGTGTTAGCATACAGTATTTGTTTTTCTATTTCTGACTTACTTCACTCTGTATGACAGACTCTACATCCATCCACCTCATTACAAATAACTCAATTTTGTTTCTTCATAAGGCTGAGTAATATTCCATTGTATATATGTGCCACATCTTCTTTATCCATTCATCCGATGATGGACACTTAGGTTGTTTCTATGTCCTGGCTATTGTAAATAGAGCTGCAATGAACATTGTGGTACATGACTCTTTTTGAATCATGGTTTTCTCAGAGTATATGCCCAGTAGTGGCATATACAGGGCATTGTTGGGTTGTATGGTAGTTCTATTTTTACTTTTCTAAGGAACCTCCATACTGTTCTCCATAGTGACCATATCAATTTACATTCCCACCAACAGTGCAAGAGGGTTCCCTTTTCTCCACACCCTCTCCAGCATTTATTGTTTATAGATTGTTTGATGATGGCCATTCTGACTGGTGTGAGGTGATACCTCATTGTAGTTTTGATTTCCATTTCTCCAATGATTAGTGATGTTGAGCATCCTTTCAGGTGTTTGTTGGCAATCTGTATATCTTCTTTGGAGAAATGTCTATTTAGGTCTCCTGCTCTGTTTTGGAAGGGGATGTTTGTTTTTTTGATACTGAGCTGCATGAGCTATTTGTAAATGTTGGAGATTAATCCTTTGTCACTTGCTTCATTTGCAAATATTTTCTCCCATTCTGAGGGTTGTCTTTTGGTCTTCTTTATGATTTCCTTTGCTGTGCAAAAGCTTTTAAGTTTCATTACGTCCCATTTGTTTATTTTTGTTTTTATTTCCCTTTCTCTAGGAGGTGGGTCAAAAAGGATCTTGCTGTGACTTATGTCATAGAGTGTTCTGCCTATGTTTTCCTCTAAGAGTTTTATAGTCTCTGGCCTTACATTTAGGTCTTTAATCCAGTTTGAGTTTATTTTTGTGTATGGTGTTAGGGAGTGTTCTAATTTCATTCTTCTACATGTAGCTGTCCAGTTTTCCCAGCACCACTTATTGAAGAGGCTGTCTTTTCTCCATTGTATATTCTTGCCTCCTTTATCAAAAATCAGGTGACTATATGTGCGTGGGTTTATCTCTGGGCTTTCTATCCTGTTCCATTGACCTGTATTTCCGTTTTTGCGCCAGTACCATACTGTCTCGATTACTGTAGCTTTGTAGTATAGTCTGAAGTCAGGGAGCCTGATCCCTCCAGCTCCATTTTTCTTTCTAAAGATTGCTTTGGCTATTCGGGGTCTTTTGTGTTTCCATACAAATTGTGAAACTTTTTGTTCTAGTTCTGTGAAAAATGCCATTGGAAGTTTGATAGGGATTGTACAGAATCTGTAGATTGCTTTGGGTAGTTGAGTCATTTTCACAATGTTGATTCTTCCAGTCCAAGAACATGGTAAATCTCTCCATCTGTTTGTATCATCTTTAATTTCTTTCATCATTGGCTTATAGGTTTTTGTATACAGGTATTTTGTCTCCTTATTTAGGTTTATTCCTAGGTATTTTATTCTTCTTGTTGCAGTGGTAAATAGGAGTGTTTCCTTAATTTCTCTTTCAGATTTTTCATCATTAGTGTATAGAAATGCAAGAGACTACTGTGCATTCATTTTGTATCCTGCTACTTTACCCAATTCACTGATTAGCTCTAGTAGATTTCTGGTAGAGTCTTTAGGATTTTCTATGTATAGTATCATGTCATCTGCAAACAGTGACAGCTTTACTTCTTTTCCAATTTGGATTCCTTTTATTTCTTTTTCTTCTCTCATTGCTGTGGCTACAACTTCCATAACTATGTTGAATAATAGTGTGAGAGTGGACAACATTGTCTTGCGCCGATCATAGAAGAAATAGTTTCAGTTTTTCTCCATTGAGAACAATGTTGGCTGTGGGTTTTTCATATATGGCCTTTATTATGTTGATGTAAGTTCCCTCTATGCCCACTTTCTGGAGCGTTTTTATCATAAATGGGTGTTGAATTTTGTTGAAAGCTTTTTCTGCATCTATTGAGATGGTCATATGGTTTTCTCCTTCAGTTTTTTAATATGGTGTATCACATTGATTGATTTGCGTATATTGAAGAATCCTTGCATTACTGGGATAAACCCCACTTGATCATGGTGTATGACCCTTTTAATGTGCTGTTCAATTCTGTTTGCTAGTATTTTGTTGAGGATTTTTGCATCTAAATTCATCAGGGATATTGGCCTGTAGTTTTCTTTCTTTGTGACATCTTTGTCTGGTTTTGGTGTCAGGGTGATGGTGGCCTCGTAGAATGAGTTTGGGAGTGTTCCTCCCTCTGCCATATTTTGGAAGAGTTTGAGAAGGATAGGAGTTAGCTCTTCTCTAAGAGTTTGACAGAATTAGCCTGTGAAGCCATCTGGTCCTGGGCTTTTGCTTGTTGGAAGATTTTTAATTACAGTCTCAGTTTCAGTGCTTGTGATTGGTCTGTTTATATTCTCTATTTCTTCCTGGTTCAGTCTCAGAGGGTTGTGCTTTTCTAAGAATATTTCCATTTCTTCCAGGTTGTCCATTTTATTGGCATAGAGTTGTTTGTAATAGTCTCTTAGGATGCTTTGTATTTCTGTGGTGTCTGTTGTAATTTCTCCTTTTCCATTTCAAATTTTTTTGATTTGAGTCCTCTCCCTCTTTTTCTTGATGAGTCTGGCTAATGGTTTATCAATTTTATCTTCTCAAAGAACCCGCTTTTAGTTTTATTGATCTTTGCTATTGTTTTCTTTGTTTCTATTTCATGTATTTCTGCTCTGATCTTTATGATTTCTTTCCTTCTGCTAACTTTGAGTTTTGTTTGTTCTTCTTTCTCTATTTCCTTTAGGTGTAAGTTTAGGTTGTTTATTTGAGATGTTTCTTCCTTCTTGTAGTAGGCTTGTATTGGTATAATCTTCCCTCTTAAAGCTGTTTTGCTGCATCCCATTGGTTTTGGATTGTCGTGTTTTCATAGTCATTTGTCTCTAGGCATTTTTTTATTTCCTCTTTAATTTCTTCACTGATCTCTTGGTTATTTAGCAATGTATTGTTTAGCCTCCATGTGTTTGTGTTTTACGTTTTTTTCCTGTAATTTATTTCTACTCTCATAGCATTGTGGTCAGAAAAGATGCTTGACATGATTTCAATTTTCTTAAATTTACTGAGGCTTGATTTGTGACCTAAGATGTGATCTATCCTGGAGAATGTTCCTTGCGCACTTGAGAAGAAAGTGTAATCTGTTGCTTTTGGATGGAATGTCCTATAAATATCAATTAAATCTATCTGGTTGACTCTGTCATATAAAGCTTGTGTTTCCTTATTAATTTTCTGTTTCGATGATCTGTCCATCATTGTAAGTGAGGTGTTAAAGTCCCCCACTATTGTTGTGTTACTGTCGATTTCCTCTTTTATAGCTGTTAACAGTTGCCTTATGTATTTAGGTGCTCCTATGTTGGGTGCATATATATTTATAATTGTTATATCTTCTTGGATTGATCCCTTGATCATTATGTAGTGTCCTTCTTTGTCTCTTGTATCATTCTTTATTTTAAAGTCTATTTTACCTGATATGAGTATTGCTACTCCAGCTTTCTTTTGATTTCCATTTGTGTGGAATATATTTTTTCATCCCCTCACTTTCAGTCTGTATGTGTCCCTAGGTCTGAAGT